AGTTCACACCATCCATGAATCTAAGTCAGAAACACATGCCTCTATTTTTGCTATAGAGCTGGGTTGTTCGCCTGGGTTGGGCTTGAAAGGGAGATAGAGCTGGGTTTCATCGGCGTAGAGATGGTAATTTAGTCCATGCCGTCTGATGATGTCCCCAATGGGTGAAATATATAATAAGTATAAAATCGGACCCAGTACTGATCCCGGGGAACACCGTATCGAAGTTCTTTCGTCTTTGACTTGTTTCCATCAATTATCAAACACTGTTTTTGGTCTTGGAGATAGGATCGAAACCATTTTAGCACATTTCCTTTTACTCCATAGTGTTTTGCCATTCTTTCCAGTAATAGATCGTGGTCGACTGTATCAAACGCCGCAGACATGTCCAATAATAGCATGACAACATATTTTTGATTGTCTATTTCTAAGAGAACGTCATTTTGCTCCCTCAAGAGGGCAGTCTCTACGCTGTGAAAACGCCTATACGCAGATTGAAAAGATTCCTCTAGATCATTATCGCCTTTTCAATTATCTTTGTTATGACCTTCAGGTTTGAGATAGGTCTAAAATTTGAGTAATCCTTAGAGTCCAGGTTGTCCTTCTTCAACTTCGGTTTGATTGCTGCTTCTTTTAGTGCAGCAGGCATTGATGCTGATTGGAAAGACATGTTAACGATGTTAATTAAGACAGGTAGAAGGGCTGATTTACAGTCCTTTAGAATAGCTGCCAGTATAGGATCAAGGTCGCAGAATTTTTTACCGATAGTGTCTACAAAACCCTCAATCTCTCTCTCTGACATCACTCTGAACTCTTTGAATTCGGCATGACCAGGCTTTTTGTTTGCTTCCCAGGACTGGGTACTGGTTTTTGCTTCATTGGATAGCTTTGTTCTTATTGTTGCTATCTTCTTGTCAAAAAAGTCGGTAAATTTGTTGGTGAGCTCAATCGTTGAGGGTGGGGTCGGTGAGCGTCTCTCTACTTTGCGGTTTAATAGCTTGTCAACCGCGTTGAAAAGCACTTTTGGATGTGATGCATTCTCTGAAATAATAGATGAGTAGTATGAAGCCTTTGCGTCTTTAAGCATTTTATTCACAACCCGACACTGGTCGACATACATCTGTCTGTCAATGCACAGTCTTGACGATCGCCAGCGGTGCTCCAGCTTCCGGCGTTTTCTCTTTGCATCGCTAATACCCTCGTGGTATCATGGTGCTGATGAGCGGAGGGTTATTACGCGTCCTTTTAAAGGGGCATGCATTTTCAAGTATTTCCATCAGCGGGTTTTTCTATTTTTCAATGAGACCTGTAAAATTAAGGGTGCTAGTTGACGGAAGGTCGGACTGCTTTAGGTCATCATTAAAACTGCCCATATTTACCGAGCGCAGTTTTCGATAGCTAATTCCTTTTTGTTCCAGAGGTGGTTTCTTTAGACGAAGTTTGCAGTGTACAACAGAGTGATCGGACAGCGTGGGATCCCGTATTTCAGTGCTATTTACTAGCTCGTCCTCGGCTCTAGTTATGATCAGGTCAAACGTACGCGTGTGGCCCTTTTTATGGGTGGGTCAATTTACATGCTGGACTAGGCCGAACGATTCTAAGATGTTGTTAAATTTCACGGTATCCAAATTGCTGATATTATCCACATGGTAGTCGAAGTCACCCACTATAAGTAGGTTACCAGGTAACACAACTAACTGTTCTGTGAGAATGGAGAATTCTTCGAAGAAGAGAGCACTATTTAGTTGTTTTGCCTTAGATGGAGGTGGTCTATAGATGGTAACAATTCTTGAAGACCCAGTGGAGCATGTCGTTACGATGTCAAGGTATTCGAAAGACTTGAAATTTCTTTGGGTCTGTTTCGTAGCCTTCACGTGTTTCTTTATTAGTAGACCAACTCCTCCCCCTGGTGAGTTTTTCCGAGGAATGTGGTAAAACTAGTATCCAGTGGGGCAGACTTCGGTGATGGAAAAATTATAGTTTTCATTATTACTCAGCCATGTCTCAGTCGTTGCGAAAATGCCCACGTTATTGTCGACTGCATAGTCTTTGATCGCAAGTTCCTTCTTATTGATCGATCTGGTATTCAACAAACATAAGTCCATGGGTACGAATCCACTCTTCAGTTTTTGCTTTGAGCATCTTATGCTGATAAGATTGTGCCAATTCACTCCTCTGGGACAGCAATTTTTGGAGCCGAGGGTGACGTTGTGTAATATAGTGGTTGGCCGTAATCGCTTGGCTTGCGATCAGACCGGTGTTGTTTTGTTTATAGAGGGTCCGGGATTGAGTTTAAATGTCAGATCGCCAATTAGTTCCATGTTGAAAGCGGCGAAGCTGTTTGGATAATAAAAGCATGGTCTTTTGTGTCTTTTCATCCTGCGCCGCTTTGATAAATTCCTGAGCAGAAGCGAACCAGTGATTGTACAGCAATTCATCCAGCGATGTGAAATGCTCGTTGTGAACAAAACATCTTTGTTAGAGTAATTAGATGTATTGTGAAGCAAGATTCCTGCAGCTTTGTAGGTCGAACAGAAATGCGACGATGGATCGAAAAATTCCCTTCTGGGAGGCAGAATATTCAGCCTTGGTTCGCATTGTAGAGGCCAATTTGTAGATTCATAGCTTCTGTAATGTCTTCCGTTCAGAAATGGTTGGTTGGTCCAGTACAGAGCGAAGTAGAGGAGAAAGAGTGCAGAACGATCACATACACGTCTTACCCTCATTATATTATTCTATTCTTATATTCGACATTCGCCGCTGTTTTTCTCCAGGTTTATTGCTGTAGCTGGAAATGGATTCCGGATTGGCGTAACCAGTCAACTCTGAGATCTCCAGCGGGTCGAAATTATCACGTTGCGCTTGGATAACTGTTTTGTGACCACTCGAATTTGTGAATTTGCCGTTCAGGGAGGCAATGAAGGCAATATTCTGCATTTACCTCCCCAATGTATTTCTACCAGTTGGAACCGTCTTGTTCGAGATATTGGATTTTGGACTGGACTCAGGCGGAAATTTCCAAGAACGTTATCACCCTTCGGACGATGGCCAACGTACTCGAGAACTCTAGAGAAGGGCTCTATCCTCTCCTCTTGCATCTGGTCTCTTAACTTCCAAGGCTTATCTTAGTCTTGAAGTCAGGAGTGACTGACCAAGATTTTTCAAAAGTCACGTTATTTAATGTAACCGATCTTTCCTCAATAAGAGGATCTTACTGGAGTAATGATTTCACGGCTAACGGTTAATGTATATTTCTTTCCTTCTATCATGCAAGACAATGAATGGTGCACTGTGGGATACTTCTCGAATTCATTGGTCCAGAATTTTTTCTGAGGATCGATAAAAGTTATCTATAAGTGGGGTTTAATATTCCCTCGAATGACTGTAAACCTTGAACAATTCATTTAACCTAGAAAAAATATCACATCATTCTTGTTCTTTTCTCTATGCCTCTAGAAGTTCTCTATGCCTCTAGAAGTTCTCTATGCCTCTAGAAGTTCTCTATTCCTCTAGAAGTTCTCTATGCCTCCAGAAGTTCTCTATGCCTCTAGAAGTTCTTTATGCCTCTAGAAGTTCTCTCTGCTGTACTTTTTTCGACAGAGCTGATCATGTGTAATTTTACAAGAATGTTCACTGGTAACGAATTGTATCAATATTCCTCTCCATCGGTCCTCCATTACTTAACGAAAGATAAAAAACCAGATTAAAAAAATACAGCTACGGGTTTCCGGTTCTTGCTCTTGATGTAAAACAAGTTGCTTGTTACAGTCACGGAGTTTACCACCTAGGGATAAAATCGCGAGTCTTAAGTTTTCGGTTCTACAATAGCCCCTAAGCCTCTTACACATGCTGCTACATGAGTCATAACAATGCAATTTTGATTATATGATCTCAGTAACTGAAAGCAATTGATTCTAAAACCGCACAATACGAATGCTTTCTCAGTACAAACTTTCAGCTCTACTACGCATTTCTACAGAAACTTCAGTTAGACAAAAATATTAAGAAATAAGCTTCTACTAGATTGATGTCTTTACAGTGAAAGATGTAAACTTCTGTAGAGCATGGACTCCACCCTAGTATTGATTTTACTATGGAGCTTTCCAACAAAGACTCAATTCCTTTTAATGGAATGTTCATAACGAAGAACGGCAACAAGTTGGAGACCAAGGTCTATCGTAAACCTACAAACACGGGCCTACTACTCCATTTTCAAAGCCACACTGATTTAAGCTATAAGAATTGTCTTGTTAAAACAATGGTTTATCGTGCAAGGAAATTTTCGTCTACGCATCAGGCATTCATCGATGAATGTAAACATCTACAATCTATGTTTACTCACCTTGGATGTCCAAGTTCGTTAGTAAATGGCATCATTGATGAATATGATTATCTCCCAACACGAGAGGCTAAGACGAAACCTGTTACTGACGAAACTTTAATAGTCAGCATCCCGTTTAAAGATCAAACCTCAGCGAACTCAGTTAAAAAGCAGATGCGAGATCTCAGTTAAAAGATTGGCATTGATGTAAGACCAGTATTCACCAGCAAGAAACTTGAGCATGATCTTAAGTTTAAACAAATCAAGCCACCTATTGTAAATCAGCACAGCGTTGCTTATTGTTATGAATGTGATTTGTGCAATTCAAATAATGTCGAATATACGACACGCCATCTATTTCAACGCATTGCTGATCATCGATGATCTGCCATTGGTCGTCATCTGAAAGATGCTCGTAGGAACGTTAACTTACTCAACGAAAGCCAATTTCGGGTGCTTAAAAAATGTAGCACGAAATGGGATTGCCTGGTCAACGAAATGTTGTACCTAAGAACAATAAGACCTAATTTAAATACCCATAGTGACTCCATTAAGGCTAAGCTCTTTGTTTGACTCTCGATGATTCTTAATTTATTCATTTTCTCATCTATATATATCTTAGTTTTGTTATTACATTCTCACTTGATAATGACGTTCTGGAAACGTCGAGACCTCGTGTAATGTTTTCCAATATTTCATCGCTGATTTCTATTGTAAAAAAAAATTTATTATCAAGAAGCTAAAAAATCATATATTGCATAATATGGCGATGTTGACATCTAATGTTCTCAACAAAAAACGTTTCAGACAAATGAACCGGGCAGGGTTCTGAAAGAATGTTATCGTATGACCAATATCCCGAAGAGAAATTTCGCTTACGGCTGTCATCTTTAAACAAAATTGGTCAGCTTTCGTGGAGGATTACCCGACGTAACTATTAACATATATACCTCAAATCGTGTGCATATTATCCAGATTCCGAGTGCTGCACCTTCTTTCATAGAAACTTGAGCAATCCGAAATCCTCTGACAGTACACTGTTCTACTTGTATGTCATTTGAAACATTCTTAAGTCGGCTATCACACGAAACTATCCTAACACCGATCATTTGTCATAAATATGTACGTAATCACGATGGCGTCACGCCGTATTTCATCGGTCGCTCCAAAGAAGAAGAGAAATGGACATTTTTCGATATTTCAGCAGATTTCCATGCATTCTGAAGTAAATACAACCGAAAGGAAATAGAAAAGCCTCGAAGATTTTTTATTCTTACAAAGACTCGTTCTTAAACACGTACCCAGGATCAGGAGAGAAGTGGTATCTGGTATGCGCAAAACACCATTGGCTTTCTTGGCCAAATGACCTACTGTCATGTAGAATAACGTACCAAGTATAATTTTAAAAAGAATTCTGCTCATGTTTCTAATACTTTCAGTGTAAAAATATTTCCACTGAGTATGGCAAGTAAATACAGGCTTAGAGAAAGCAATAATATGCGCACGATAGCTTTCCTCAAGACAAGCGGGTTTTGCGGCAAAACAGTTTCTTAAGATTAACAAAATCAATCTGGTAATTGAGATTCTCTCTCGGGAGGTACGGTTGCAGTACAAAGATATCAAAACGCGTCATCAAATGTCAGTGTGCAGCCCTGCCTTTCAGAATATAGCTTGAAATAAACCGGTCACAAATGCTTAATTAAGTCGAGCATACGTGTAAATGCTTAACAAGTTAACGAGAAATACGAGATTATACTTCATCGGTAAAGCGAGTGAAAACAAATAATAGCGTTTCGCCGCTTAAGAATATAAAAAGCACAACGTAATCGTTTAAGGCAAAGATGATTAATCCCTGAAACTTGTTGTGGCAAAGTGTTCAAACCGTTAGCCGATCATACACCGTGGACGTGTATCCAACTACACCATTAAATCCTCGACATTTGCATACAACTGCTTGTCGTACATACTCATGTTGATCAGCCTCTGCCAAGAAAAAAATATCATAGTCAGCGTCATTTAAAAATAGGGTTCCTTTTGCGTTATTTTGACAGTGCATTAGTAGTGTTTATTACTGCGAGGATCGCTTCCATACATATCTTGCGATCTTTAAAATAATAACCATAAAGCATCGTTTGTATTGGAACATTTTAGTGTGCTCCTTTGCTGTTTGTTGTTGTTGTGTAGCGCTAACTCCGGTGACAGTAAAATAGGAGGGAATCCAAACTTTTCAAAAATGAAAGAGATGAGCACATTAAAGTAAAAGCTGTTTAGGTTGAAAACCCCAATTAGCTGAACCCAGGCCCGAGTCACTCAGGAATAAAAAAGAAACTTTCGTGTTGATCACAATTCTCACCTTATGTTGGGTTTCCATGTCCTTAAGCTGATTTTTCAATTCAGTGAATGTTGGTCTTGCATCCGGGTCATTTTTCCAGCATTTCACCATGATCTGATACCTGGTATTTTTCAAAGGAACTGTTAAAGATTTAAAAAACAATTTCTTCTGCAACGAAAGAGGATGAGTTGAAAAAGAAAACTTACAGTTTTTCATCGACGTGTTGTGGTTTAGGCATTCTGTATCCCTCCTGAAGTAAGTTTGCAAGTTTTCTTCCATCCATTCTGGGGTAAGGTGAACCACCTGGAAGGACCACAAGACCATCGAAAGATAATTGTAACAAAACAACGACCTTTTTGTAACTCTACTGTGTCACAAAGGTTGCATGGGGAAGCTCACTGCGCTTGTCTTACTGAACAGACTACATTGTTTAATTGATTATAGTAAATAGCGAAAAACATCTACATAGAATTCCACTCGAGAATACCTATGGTGAAAATCTCGTAAAGCACCACTCCATAACTCCAACTGCGAAAAGACAAATCAAACGAATGTAAATTAAGTGACTGAAGACATCAACAGTATATACGACAACTAAGATATATTCTTTCACAAAGCATAGAAATTCGTATCTTAATTAAAATTTATAAATCTTGTTGGAAAATCGCCATGGGTAATTATCAGTTATACTTACACATCACTTTTGGTGGTATATTTTCCGTACAATAAGGCCTCATAAGCAGTCCACTTCACGGGAAGACGGCCCTAAATATTGCAAATATCACTTTGGGAATAGCTCAAAAATTAAAGAAAGCAACTAACCAAAGACAGTTTTATTTCAAGTTATGTTTGTATGCGTTTTCGTTAGGGTCTTATCCGAGGACTTTATGATCGAAACCGGGAATATATCAGCTATACCAGAACAATGATTATGGAAGATCATTAGATGGAACGATGTGTATTATAAATGAGTAGTACCGCCTCCATCTCCTCTCCTTCTTGATTACCTTAGTCTTTCGCTCATAAATATTTTCCTGCTGCACATCTCTGGCCATTCCAAAGTCTGTCACTTTGCAGGTTTCCTTTTGTCCAACCAACACATTACGGGCTGCCAGGTTGCGATGGAGGATCTAAGAAAGAATTGACGCGTCAGCGAAAATTAAAGAATGGAGAAGAAAAGAACTGAAATTAATGGTTCGGATAGGAAAAAAAAAGAAATCTCTAGCAAATGTAATATGGTGTGCGTATTTCATAGAATGCTCATATTAAGATTTTAATGGAAATAGAATTCTGTGGTATACCAGTTTTTGCGACCAACACCCAATTTTTGAAATTTTTATTTTTATTTCCTTTTATTCCGTGACACTAAAATAGGTATCTTTTGTGCACTCAGTTTAGGCTGGATATCTTAAAGATCCTTTCCATTTCCGTCTCTGCCTTTGCCTACACAAAAGAAACCCAGATATTTTCATTTAATGGGATGCTCTAGGAACGATGCGAAAATATCGTCATTTGCACAATGGGATAAAACTTTGATGATGGCACTAAAATTGGGAGGGTTAACCTAGAGCAGATTAAAGCCTTTACTGGACGGTAAGAATAAGTTTGTATATTCCGGCCGTGATCTTGTAAAAACATAAAATTCTATAATGACAAAGCTCAACATCGCGATACACCTTAAAAAAATGTGTTAAAATAAAGTTTTCTTTCATTTGTGTTTTTTATCAACTTACAGATTTTGAGGACAAGTACCCCATTCCATCTGCGATTTGCCAGGCAAACTGCATTAGCTGCTGTGATGTCAGATTTGTTTGTGGTTTGATATTTGGGTCTTTGTAGTATGTGTCATTTAATCCACGGCTCTTTCTCAAGTAACCAAGCAGATCCCCAAAAGGCACATATTCAATCAACACCAACAGCGGCTCTGAAGAAATAAAACAAACAAAACGATAAATTACACTCTAAAAAAAATTAAATAAACGTATAATCCAGTCATGGTTAATACTTTTGAACGAATCGAAAAAACAAGATGTAGTTTTAAAAAGAATAGGCGGAAGACCGAATATTTCCCTACAAAACGCGTTTTTGCTTATACAACAGAAATGCCAGTTCAGTTGCAAATATTCGGTCTTAGACAATCATTAAATCCAGGAGCGTCTATATTGACTGAAAAATATAACGAGACAGTACTGTTACAAAGTAACTCAAAGGGAAATTGTGTACAGAAAAATTAGACCCGCATAGCCAAAGCGTACCAGATTCCGTAACACAACCCAGAAGTTTAATGACGTGAGGATGTGGTTTCAGCTGCTTCATTGTTTCAAGTTCTTTCATCAAATCTCTCTTGTCTGATTCAGCAGCGTTTGCTAGAGCGTTAGAAACAAGGAGAAAGTTTGGCTCATGGGATTGATATGCAAAAAACTGAAATGACAACAGTAGTTATGAAATAGCAAATAGTTAAGACATTACTGTAACATGGCAACATCTCCTGAATGACTGTAAGTTAGAACTGTCACTCCATCTACAGTACAAGAGCTCACATTTAAGCATCTTAATAGCCACTGTGGTCGTTTCATGCCTTCCTCGAAGTCTTACTGCAGTTCCTTTGGCAACTTGACCAAAAGCACCTTTACCGATGATTTTTTCTATGGTCACGTGATCTCTTGGAACTTCCCAGGACCGTGTTAATGGGTGAAGAGGCGCGTAATCAGCACCTGGGGCGGCACTCAGTGCTCTACTATTATCTCTGGTAGCTTCTGTGAGATCCACGTATTCTGCAAGAGGCTGTGTGAGTTTTCCTGAATCGGGCTGACTTGGTTCGATATCTTGTAATTGTATTCCATTCTATTAAACCAAAGTACTCGTTAAGGTATTCACATATTAATCTGTGATCAATCTCAATAAAAAGTCATACCATAAAAAATGATATGACTGACGTTTAGGTTCTTCTTTTACAAAAGATTATAAACAGTTTATAATCTTCTGTCTTCTATTGTTACAAAGAATAGCGAAGGGCCTGTGTTTACATGGAGGTGGGGGCACCCCAGTAGAGGTAGCCCGCCCAGGTGGGGCATCCCGCCTGTCCATATCATGTACTTATTGACTGACTGCGAGGGCTGGACGGGAAAATGTTTGGCTTGAGGTCATGGTACACGGACCGAGCGCGACGCGTTTTATCATATGACCACGAAGTGTTGAAAATTCCAACCCTAATAGGACGCGATAGATGTGCACACGCAGCCAAAGGAGCACAAAATTAAATTCTGCACCTAGAAATTTTCCTTCATCTTTTTAAAGTCCGAACAAGAAACTCCCAATTCCTTGAAATATGCGACTTTTTTTCTCTTTTATTTTTAACTTTAGATTTTTTATCAACGAAGCAGCCTGAGGGTAGCGGGGACGCTTTTTTTCGGACCGGCTTACGTCAAATCGTTCGGCCCTACACACGTCAGCTTTCATTATGTTTTTCTATGAGATTGCGCGAGCGGAGCCGGACGAGGTCATATGATAAACTCTCTTATTTTCTCTTGATCATATTTACATGATGAGTGAGATGACCACGTAAACGTCTCAAAGGGGGGTAACCCGCCGAGTCCGGGGGTCGCGTTAATATTACAAAAGATCAAATGAGCTAAAGTTGTAACAAAACACGTGAGTTTAAAAATTTTGCACATTTCTTAGCCGTTCAATACAGAACTAAAACGTTAAAAAAAAACAACAATTTTTATCTCATCCTAGCAATGAAACCTCGACAGCAGTTAAATCACGTCTTTAAATTTAGCCTTGAGTTTAGCATTACATTCACTTGTTACGCTGTAGTGAAGACGTGGTACCGTCAGAATTTTCTAAGGCATCGAGCTACGGGCGAAAATTTTAGAAGAAAATAAATTCCGTTTCTTTGCCAACCTCTTACCAACCGTCGCCGTAGTGACGTCGTATACTTCCTAAATGCAAGCGCGACGACAACCTGGAGAAACTTCATCCCGGAATCCCACATTTGTAGGGCTGTAAGTAAACACTGGCTATTTTTCGACCACGGCTTGGCTGTCTACCCTAGACACGTTACATTATATGTCGTCGGAGGAAAGCTGCGAATAAGAAGCAGTTGAACCAAGGAGTGACCCAAGACCACGAAAGATCAGAAATCTTTCATGGGAGAAGTTCAAACTGAGGAATATCAAAGGGAAACTGGATGAGGCCTATTTGGCCGGACTAACTGAGAAGCAACGTCGCACAAGTGAACTTGTCAACCGAACTGAGGATGAATGACCACGCCCCTACCCAACTAACGGCCCTCGTTGGACTGTCCACAGCGATTAAATCAAGGCATTTTCAGAACATTTCAAATTTTATAGATACCAGCTGTGAGTTTTTCTTGATGTTCATTTCTTAAGAAAGGAATTTCAGGCATGGCATGTTCAAATGACGAGGACGACTAGCGAATACATATGTACTTTTTAACTGACAAAAATTAATAACTGTCACCGGTCGATCGATTGAAGAAAAAGAAATAATGAAATAAATTTATTGAAGTTGTGAAGAAAAAATAGCTCTTGTATTTCCGTGTTTTATCATAGTGGAGCATAGATTTTGCAAACGAATGGTAAAAGTCTGGTACGGGTTATATAAACCCGCACGATTACGACATAGTACCTGTCCTGTAATGAAAAAGTTAACGTAATCAGACATTTTGTCTGATTTCGTCAACGTAAACAAGAGAAAAACGTGTTTCCGTTACTTAACCTTGTATTTCCTTAAACGTTTAGGTCTGACGGAAATGAAAAACAAATTCATGTTTCCAGAACGTTACCATGTGTTTCCGCACATGTTAACAAGAAGTTACGCTTGCGGAAACATTTATTTCCTTCAACTGAAGCCTGACGGAAACATTTAAAAAAGTGGTACGGTTCCGCTGTGACCGTAGCAACGGAAACACGAGTAAACGTCACCAAACTGGCAACGGAAACGCGTGCTAGCTATTGTGTTTCCGCAACGGTTTCAAATATTTTTTCCACGTTTCCGTTTACAGATTCTTGATATTTTTTCCTGTGCTAGGGTCCCCCACCTCCATGGAAGCAGGCCATAACATTTTGCTCCCTGCCATCGAAACTTTCACGTCCAATGAAGTGATTAAGGTTCAAAGCATATTCGCCGAAGCTACAAATTGCAACATGAATATCGTCCAATGGTAGTGCAATTATTTAAAAAAAATACACATAGCAAAAAAAATTCTTGCCACACGCAGCTCACTAACTATTGATTAGAAAATAAGGCATCAAAAAAGTAATAATAAGACGGCAAAAAGGGCGCGAAAGCAATTCTTAGAAAGTCAATCGGGTGCGGACCCTTTAGCGATCAATAAAATGAAGCCACAGAGTTCAAAAAAAGGAGAACCAAGGACAAACTCGTGGAGTAGTTTGGTAAAGGACATGATCCCAGGACAAAGACCCTATCGGGTTCAGCTTCCTTTTCTATCAGTTCATCCTATAATATAAATAATTATAGGATGCATCGTTTGATCGGATACTTTATCGTGTTATAGAGCCCGCATTTGATCGGTGATGACTAGTTATGTCATAAAAGCAATAGAACACGTGGCCTAAATCCCTTTGTTGTAACTTACGTCGTAAACGCCTCTTTCATCGTCATAAGTCCTACAATTGATAAGGGATACAAATATTCATAAATATCAGAGTAGTTCGTCAGTTTTAAGTGAAATTTTATGTCTAAATACAATTTAATGCCATATCTGGTGCATTACAGACACAGAACGCAAGCGGCAGCAAATTCCTACCTTTGTTTCCCAACAGCGCCTGAAAAAGAACAAAAGAGAAAAAGACAAATGTTGTGGATGTGGTTATAGCAATGCCATTCTCGAACAGCTGGTATGACGTCACAGTGGGATTGGCATCAGCTGCACAGTTAAGGCTAATAACACCATTCCGACATGCTGTGTGGTGGGCAGCGGATGTTTTGAACTGGGTAATGTCTGGTTTGACTGGGAGATGAATATGAAAGGTTCATTGCCATTCATGAGAAAATAATTCATCAACTTATCTCCTGTTACTCAACAGCAACAGCAAAAAAATAATAATAATTCTTAAATTATCTTTAAAAATTGCTACAATAAGGAATCTACTCTAATTCTAAGTTAGTTTCAATAATTTTAAGAGCATAATAAGAACAGATTCTTACAAAGTTAAAATCTTTTATTTATTCAAATTCTGCATATTTTATCTTGTAATGTGGTTATTTCTAGTGCAGCTCAATCACCAAGTTAAGTGTTTATGTATTCCAATAGGCCTTTCCCAAGATATTTAAAACGCAAAGGTGACTGGGAGCGTGTAGCTCGAAAGCGAGGCTATAGTAAGTACATTTCCAATATGGCGGCAAGGAAAACAGTTCCTCGGGGAGTAATTTATTGTTGTGTGCCACTTTGCCATAGTTCTAGTGGCAAAGTCGTCAACGGAAAGACGGTAAAACCTCACAGAATTCCAACGGATAGTAAAGCTAGAAGAATTTGGATTGCTAGGCTCAGAAATCTGCGGCAAAATTTTTTTTAAAGTCTGGAACAAGAGTCTGCAGCTTGCATTGTAAAGGCAAAGAAGGCTTGGTTTGAGGGAGGCCGCGCGCTTGCATTTTAAAGCAGTTATTCTTCCTTTTCTGTACAAAAACCAAAACCTTGGTACTCTACCATACTGGTGCTTAACTGGTCTCATCTCATCTTTAAGCTTGAGGCTAAGTTTCCTTTTGCGTGGCATGTTCCACTCACAAAGTTTGGATGTCCAGGCAATGTTGTCGACTATGGTGTTGCTATGGCTCTTCACATAATCCTCCAGGGTAAACAGTAATGCTGCAATGTGGTTGCAAGCCTCACCTAACCTGAAACCAAAGGGAGTATAGGGGAGTGGTGAGGTCTTTGTCTTTTTAAGTCAAATGGAGCAGATAATTTCTCCCTTCACTTTCTTGTAACCTATTTTTTACAGGTGAAAGCAAATCAATTTCTTACCCATAGACTGGGGCTTAGAGTATATTTCATGATATTTGATTACAATATAAACACTGCACAATAGCACACCAAGAATTATAGAAAGAAGAAAACAGCAAAAGCAATTCTTCAGTTTCCTTGTACAAGTCACTTGACATAAAGTATCATAAAACGACAAAGTACAAGACAAATAGAAGAAGATTTAAACTCATTATAAAAATTAATTTCCCTTACCCCGCTGTACAATTACAATCTCCTGAGAACACTTAAGCTGTTTCTTTCACAACCGAAACCCAAGTTCTGTGAAAGCGGTCTTGACGCATGGATGGTAACACTGTCGCCTTCACGAAGCAGTAACTGCTCCTCTCACTGATAAGACTTAACTCGATCTTTTGTACGTGCCCGTCCGTAAAAAATTTGAATGCTTCCAGTTGTTTGAAACACTTCATGTCTTCCCTTTGGAATGATTTACATGTTCCATAAACCAAATAGTCTATAATTTCTTTATAACTAATCGGTGGCAGTTTGCAAAGATCACTCGTCCAGTTGTTCAAAGCTCTAGGATCTGGAAGATCCTCAGATGGACTGCGAAATTTTTCAGCAGCTCTCGTTTTTCGCTCTTGTTTCTCTCTCGTTTCCCTTTCTTCGACATGTTGGATAAGTTCTTGTTTTCGTCCTGTTGTTTTCAAACCGCGAGCTTTAAGCCATTTTTGTAGATGGTCTTTGCGGGCATGTAACTGCAGCCATTCGATTTCCGCCGTCTTGAAAATGTACTTACCATGGCCTCGCTCTCGAGCTACGCTCTCGCAGTCACCTTTGCGTTTCAAATATCTTGGGAAAGGCCTATTTCATAGACATTTTTTAAGCAACAATGTCAACTTATTATTTGTAATTCAAGATGCATGGTATTGGTCTTCTTTTCTTTTGCAAATGATCAGAAAAAACGCATATCTGCTGTCCCTCTCAAAGGATTTCACGTAAGTAAATGTTACAATTATGATGTAGTTCAGTTTTTAGCTGAAAACCAGATTTTCAAGAACCTATCCTATGACTTTTGAGAAAGATAAATACATATTCCTCTGAGGTAAAACAAATAGTAAATTAGTCATACACCTATGTACGTAAATACTGATAGCCCATTTAGATTTGAAGAAGAATTTTTGTCGGGTGATTTTAGACTCCATGCTTGGTTTTGGCAGAATATTCTGATACAGCTCAGGAAGAAGTTTAAAGTTCGTTTTCCTATACATAATTGGGAATAATCTTAAAGAGGTCTTTCTTTTCAACAATTTCATTTTGTTATGATTGTATGTATTACATCAGTTACGAAATAGAAAATCGCATTTCGATTGTGTTCACCCAATTTTCTGGTTTTCCCCCACAAATGGAATACTAATTTGTCATTGTGAGTAATCAACACAAAGAGGTTCGCATTTGTAGTTTTCAATTGACCTTCCTAAAGGCACTTCTATAATCGCAGACATCGCTTTCAGAAGCAATTTTAAAACTTCAATCTGGCGATAGAACTGGGGATTTTACATGACTTTTTCATTAATCAATATGGTATTGCCCACTGGCATGCTCCCTGGATTAAAGTTGATATATTCAATTGACTGATAATTGTAAAAGAAGTTGTGAAAAAGACCAGAATCACAGACGTAAAATATGAGAATAAAAAATAAACATCCTCCACATTATCCTGTGGAATGAAATTGCTCAAACATTTCTTTTCGAGTATACAGTATGCCGGCATTTGGTTTGAATTGTTCCAAATTTCCAAAGTTTAGTGTCTGTGTGGGCCAAACACCAGTCCGTGTCACTAGATTCTTTCAAATTGACATCCACATATTGAGAGGCACTTCTACCAACATTTTAACATTATGAGTCAATACTATGGATGTTGTTACGCTCTGAGAATTTTTATCATGTATAGAATGGGAGGAAACTTAACTTTTTTTTATTTTGACGCCTGTTGTAGTTAACAGCAAAAACTAAGACTACTAGTATTTTGTTGTTATGAAAGTGAAACTGGTTATTCTAGAAGGTATGGGGACATAACAAAGTTTTTACACCAATAACCATCGATAACCCAAATGTCAACTTGATGTTACTTTCCTAGCTTATACAATCGAAGGACATCTTTATGTTGTCATGGTACATCTACTTACGAACTTGACCTTGTAAAGCTACTTGCAGTAAAACATGCTTTGGCCTTAAAGAACAGGTGTTGAATCTACTGAAGCTTTTTATATATTGATTGGAAATAAGAGTTCTGAAACAATTCAGAGTTCTCTTTCTGTCCATGACCACATTAATAACCACCTATAAAGCTTAAACTTTTTTTCAATGTTCTAAAGTCATAAAACTGTTCCTCACTTTGGGGACATTTTAAATCCCAAAAACTCCTCAGAGTCATCAGGAAACGTGAAGGTAAACTTGCTTGCTAAGAGCTATAAGAATACATTATTAATGACTACATGCCTGTTCATCAGAACTGTAGCAACTTCTCACGTTTTTAGTAATTAACACCTGGTAATCCTTTTGAAGACTGTTGCATGTGTTAAAATGTTTGTTAGCTAGGTGATCTAATATCACCTAAAAACAATTAGTGTAACATTGCACTCAAGTTTAGAGAGATCAATAGTGTCTGAGATCTAACATCCAGAACAAAATTGTAACACTGATATTTCAAAACCATTTCATCTTTCCAGACATTACTTTTTCCTAAGTGCTTTTAGTGGTTATCTAGCTAAAAGTCTTTAAAACTCGTTTTTGGAAAAGAATTAGATGGTTTGAGTGTCAATGACGTTAAAAAAATTCTGTAACAGCTGCATTCTGTAAAGGTCCTTCAACTGCTTGGAAGAAAGTTCTAGTATAAATTTGTTAATCCAATTTATAACTTCGAAAGCACTTTGTAGAATATTTTTAACCCTTAAGGGCTCTGTATATCTTTTCATAAAATATTTTTATAAATTAATAGATAATAACTTTTTGTCATTCCTTGTATATTAGAATCTTTTATCTATAATTCCAATGAGGAATTATTTTTGGTGATAAAACATCTTTTAGTTATTTAGGAAACAAAATTAAGACGCACTTCAATTTAGGGACCCGTAAATACTTTAAGGAACTGATTTTTTCCTGTATACTTTAATTCAAATGCTAACAGTGTGGGAAAGCACATAATTTTAAATTTTGAATCGATTCTTAAAATCTAGATTTATGGCACTTAACTCGTAACACTACTCCTCAGAGCATCTTTTTGTGGAGTGGTAGAAGTCAATGGTTAAGTCGAGAAAATTAAACATTGCAGCAAAATCCAATGACAGCTAGAGATTGGTTATCCAGTCCTTTCGTAACGTTTTCATTCTGCTGGTCTACAAGGTACAGTGTAATTTTGATGTAACTTCATTAATTAGGTTACCTTTATTATTGTTACAGGTAGTCACCAAAACAAATTGAAATTTACCAAACACGAAAAACACAGTACTTACAGAACACATTGATAGCCTCGGTCTTAGAGTCCTTTCCACATCTATTACTTGCTTCACATATGTACTTTCCCGCATCATTTCTGCTAATGCTGGTGAAATTTAATAATTTCCCAGCATGGTGCTCATCATTGCTAACTTTGATCCAAGAAACACTTGGCACAGGAACCCCAGATGCCTCACAATTCAGGTGATATGGGTAACCTTCAATTGCAGTATTTGGAGAGATAACTGCACTGTCCACAGACGGAGAATCTATAATTAAATTCACGATTGATTTTAATAAGAAAATTTTGGGATTAGACATCAAATATCCACAGATTGCAAACCTTGCCACTTTAATTTTAAATTTATTTTAAACTAAGACTTTCATCTCCTTTTATAGGAAATGAGCATATAAAGAAAATTATCTTATTCTGGTAGGGTGTGGGTTGTGCTTGCGTGGTACCACTTGGCGTTTTGCCTTTTCAATTCCAGCTTTGCACTCACATTTTTTTAATTTTTTGGGCACGGCTGGTTAGAGTCTGTGGGAAGTAGGATTCTAGTTTGTCTAGACATCAACCCCTGTGCGGTTATACTTCCCATAGACTACTTTGGTGTGTCTCGATGGTCCAGCAGGGCTAACCACGGATCTTTGTTGTCTTGAGAGCTTTTTTGAACTTGACATTCTTTACAGCGGACTCTGCCTTTCCGTGACATTTGTGATGGTGTTAGGAAGAAAATAAGTGAGTGAACTCCCAATCAATTGAAAACTGATCGCGGCATTCACTGCTTGATAACTGAGGAGCCTTGTCCATAGCTAGTGTGCCTGGAATGCCGTGTCTGCTGAATTTTTCATTGAAGAATCCAATCACGAAACTGGAAGTGTTTCTTCTAATCTTTTTTACTTCCATGAAATTCAGAAGAGAAGTCAATGAGCACGAAGTAGAGGTCGATGTATTCTTTGCCATGAGGTCTGAACTGGTCAGCAGTGACGTTGACTTTACGGGCGGTCAGGAAGTTAATGGCTGTGCCTTGGAAGCTTCTGATCTTTCTACCTTGAAATTCGTCGCAAACTGAACAATATTTGATCTGGTCACGCACTTCCACATTTATGCCAGGCCAGAATGCAGTGTCTCTAGCCTTACGCAGGCAAGTCTCTACTCCCAAATGGCTGGAATGAATTCTAGATTTCACTTCAGGCCTCAGTAACTGGGAGGTGACTGCTCGCGAGCCTTTGAAAAGAACATCATTGTGCAATGATAGCTTGTCACGGTAAGACAAACGGTACCGGATTTGATCTCAGTTCTTCACTAATATTACAATCATATGTGTATCCTTTCTTGTCGCCTATAATACGAGCTTATTTTGTTCCTGAACCAGAAAGGGAAAAAAGATGAAATTTATGTTTCTCTAATCATGTGCAAATAAAAAAAATCGGCAGCAGCCATGAGTTCTCTTTGATAAAGAAGAGTGATTGTAAAGAACAGTTAGAATTCCCCAAATTCACCACTAATACCATGCATGAAAAAATTTCAGCATGCTCATTGGCTGAGAACACTTTAATTAATCCCATACAGCGCAGAAAGTTACGATTGAGCGCAAAAAGTTGAAATTGGATAGAATGACAGGAAAGTCGCGAAAGTACATAAAATCAAAATGCCAGACAGGCAGGGATAAAATGACAACGTTTTAAAAAACAGAGCTTGAAGGGAAATGCCAGAAGCAAAATAAAAACAACAAACACAAGAAATGGGTAAAAGACGGGTAGCCTTCGGCTTTCAGAAGCAGCTAAAACAAAAGTATTGAAACGCACTTACGGGAGACCTGGAACAAAATTCTCGAGAGGTTTTAGGTAATAGTCCATACAAAAGACTGTGCCTAGGGTGATAGAACTCGTGTACTCATCACTGCCCTAAAGAGTGGGAAGCTTCGACTATTCGTAACAAAAAGTTTAAATTCTCCATGCTCGCAAGTTATGTACTCGGTCACTATATTGAGGACTTTCTGGATGTACGGAAAATAAGGTGGCGTCCAATTAGGGAGAGAAGAGATCTCAAACTTATGAAATCATGCTTTAAAGCTTTGCATGATACTGTTTAGAAAAAAATTTGACGAAAAAATTGCAATAAACTTTTACTAAAACCGATACGCCGGATACATTTTAAAAAAGGCTAACAAAGCTTGTTTACGACGTTTCGACGTTAACACAACGCTATTATCAAGTCAAAAAGAAGGATAAGTATAAGAGGCTTATATACTAAAATAACAACAGGAACTGATTAAAACGTTTAAAACAATAAATAACTAACAAAAACTAAACAAAACGTTTTCCACATATGGAATCCACTTGCACATTCAACTTCGGTTTGAGTTTCTTAATAAAAAGCATTTCAAATACCAAGTAATCAAACCTAGTTTGACATTTTCTCAAAATCTTAAAAGATTAAATGTCAAGCGCTGCTAAGAACTACTTTGGTTTTTTCAGTGGTCAAGCTTGAACTACACCGGCATGTTATAAAGCCTAGGAGGTCACAATCTCTGAACAAAGGTATTTCGCGGCCTCCGTTCTTCGAACAAGTGAAAATAGATTGGAAGAAGAGAAAAGTATCATAGCTCAAAGCATATCAACGTAGCCTGCTTGATTGGTTGTTGCCTAGCTGTACTTTTGTCCTGCGGCTGCGTAGTACATGATAAAATTAATGCAGGTTGTTTACAAGGAATTGACATGTGATGGCGTAAAGTCCAAGGTAGCTATGAGCGAATTTTATTGGTAGAAAACGTTTAAGCAAGTAAGAATTGCGTGGAAAATTACTAACATTAGCATTATGTTCCTTTTGAGTTTTATGTTCAGTGAGATAGGATTATTTCATAAAATTTACGTTGTTTACTGGAAAATGGCATGTCATCTGAGAAAGTACAGTCCATAATAGCGAGTAAAAAGTAAACACGTAATCATAGCGGTAAGGTACTGTTTAAACACAATATTAAATTCATGAAGAACTTTTAGAAGCAAAGAAATGGATATTTAAAATGGCAGTCAACGCAGAAAGGAAATAATACTTGGTGGTCTTCAACCTTTGCAAAAAGAGCAAAAAAGATAGGGGAAAAACAAGATTATCAATCAAATATGACTTATGTGAATGCTTTACGCAAGTTTTACCCGAGTCAACAAAACTAGCCCTTCCAAAACAAAAAGCTCTAGTGATAAATCGTCGTGTTAGGCCTTTAGCTGACGGTGTGTGCGTTGTAAGTGAAGGAGCGGCACACAAAACGCGTTTCAACTTGTGAATGGTAGAAAAACTCCCTGAAGACCTTTCCAATCCCGACAGATCATAGCGAAAAAGTCCTCACAAAAGACATGAACCATAACACTGAGTAGATGAGCTCACAATTCTTGTTAATGTAATTCTTGGTGTGTGTAAAAGTTGGGTTGATTCCATCCCAACGTACTGTGGAACCCTAATTTCCTGACATGATTTGAATCAGGTACAGCATTCTGATTGGTGGGACCGCCTCCCGGTTAAAACGCCGGACTGTTGTGCGGGAGGTCGAGGGTTCGAGCCCCGGCCGGACCAACACTAAAGGTCTTGAAATAACTGGGGAAAATGTGCTACTTTACATAATATCAAGAAATGGATAGACATTCTAGTCTTCTCGGACAAGGACGAATAAACGGTAGGTCTCGTCTCCTGCATCTATTAATTGGTTAATTTGGTTGGGCAGGGGATGTTAAAGAACCCACTCATGAGATTACTGTGATGTGGTCTGGCCTGTTTACTGGGAATTGGGGGGAGGGGTATCTTCAAATAAGTTTACTTTGATTGATATTGTAAACTGCTTGATGCAGTCCGGCTAAAGTCCCCCGAAAGTGTTGTGATGCGCTTTTGAATATTTTGTAGAAAAGGCGCAATAGAAGTAATAAATATTATCATTAGCATAATTATACATTATATCAAGCATACATACACTAATGCTGTAATCTGATTGGTACGTGATACATACCCTAATGCAGCGATCTGATTGGTTTGTGATA